AATACTTTTGCCAGAGGGCACGAGGGTGGAAGCAGAGTGGGGAATGGTCACACTGCAATCCCTTCCCCTCCATCTCTTCCTCCTTTTAGGGATTTTGGGTAAGCAGTAACACGCACTTGGTGTGTTCCTCAAGCCCCCAGATCCAGACTTGAACCACGGAGTAGGCCATGTGACATTGGCCCCAAACCATCGCACCACGGGCTGACCCACACCCCACCTCCTGCAGGTACCTCCACGAACCCAGAGACAAGAGAGCCAGGTGGACAGAGAGCACAGAGGGCAGCTGCCTGGGCTCTATCAGGCAGAGGGGAGCAGGGCATTTCTAGAACAAAACCAAGGAGGACACAGCGCTGAACTCCATGCAGAGAAGCATATGCTTAAGAATAGCATCCCCTGGGGACAGCAGGTGATGAGGTGCTCAAGGTGCTAGGATCCCACATGGTTAATCTTGGTTGAGTCCTAGACCTAGTGGCTTGCTTTCTCACTCTCTCTCTGATGAGCACACTTCTTATAGCAAATTAAAATAATAATAATAATAATAACAATAATAATAAATAAGGTTAACTGATTCTTTAAAAAGAAAGGACAGTCTTCCTCCCAGCACCACTTTAGGCCTAGGAGGGTGGGCAGGGGCTGGGCCGTGCTACATCCACTTAGAACCAGGGGAAGAAAATGAGATCCACTAAAGATCGACCTAGAGCCCTTGGAGTCCAGAGTCCCCGCAGTGCCCTGAAGTGTAGCGTAGTCAACCGCAGTTCACGTCCCAGACCCGGTGGCTTAAACTCATGCTGGGCGTGTGTGCATGTGTGCCCAAGATCCTGAGAGGAGAATGGAAGAGAAGGGATTGCGGCATGGCCATCCCCCTTGGGGGGTGATTTCTCGCTTTCTGTCTCTCTGTCTCTCTCTGTCTGTCTGGCGAGCGCAGGTGCCCTATAGTGAAAACCTCTCCAAAAAAAAAAAAAAAAAAAAAACATTACTGTTGACTGGGCCAGCTGAGGGTGTGGTGGTTAAGGCAGGTGGGTCTCACTTGGCCCACTGCACACTTTGAGTACTGGACCCAACAGCTTGAAAAATATACCAAGTGCATGTGTGCGCATGTCCAAAATCCTAAGAGAACAGAGAAGGGACTACAATGGGACCATCTGTCCTGTGGGGGTGCTTTCTCTCTCTTTCTGGTGAGCACTCCTTGCAACAAAAAAAGAAAGGCTGCTGATGACTCCCCATAGCTGGCCCCATGGTTAGGGGGTTAGTTCTCAGTCTTCCCTGGACTTGGCCCTGGGGAAGAGTCAGCATGTGGGACCAATGACCTTCTTGATTTGCACCCTTCATTTGGCCTCCAGGCCAGCAGGGTGAGCCCTGGCTCTCCTCCCACGTCACTGACGGCTCCTCCTCAGGCTCCTCTGCTCAGCCAGCCCTCTCTAATGGGGTGTCTATGGATACTCAGACCATGGACAGCTTTCCTTTCCACCCCTGCTTGCTTAGTTAACCTCTCCTTGTCTTCCAGATTCAAATGTTACTGATTCACTGACAAATCCCAAATTTATTTATTTATTTATAGAGGTTTTTGCTATAGGGTGCGTGCGCTCGCCAGAAAGATAGAGAGACAGAAAGCGAAAAACCAGCCCCCACCAGGGGGGTTGGCCATGCCACAATCCCTTCTCCTCCACTCTCCTCTCGGGATCTTGGGCACGCATGCACACGCACCCGGTGTGAGTTTAAGCCACCGGGTCCGGGACTCAAACCGCAGTCAACTACATGAGAGTCCAGCGACATAAACATTACGTTAACTGCTGGTCTGCACATCCCAAATTTAAATCTCAAGACTAGACCTCTGTCCTGAAGCCGGGACTCTAATATTCAAGCACCAACCTAACAGTCAGATTAGGCTAATGAGCTGGCATCTCCAGTTGGCAGACTTGCACTCCCGGTCCTCTCCAAGCCTCCCTCACCTTTGCTCTGGCAGCTCCATCCTTCCCATTACTCAGGCCAAAGAGAGTGGATCTATCCTGAACTCCTCCCTTTCTCTCGCATCTCATGTCCAGCTTTAACTGGCCGGAACCACCACCACCTCTCATCTGCACCCATGTGGCCACCTCTGCCCTGGCACTCAGCTACCACCCTCACTCCGTAAGTCAGCTCCGAGAAGAATCTCATTAAAACCAGTCAGGTCATGGGGCCAGCAGGTGGTTAAATGCACTAGACTCCCACATGGCAGACTGTGGTTCAAGTCCCGGATCTGGTGGCTTGCTTTCTCACTTTCCCTCCGTGGTTCTTGTCCCTTAGTAAAGTCAAGTCCTCAGAGAGACCTTCAAGGCCCTGCGCCCTATTCTGCACCCAGATCTCTGCACCCTAGTCCTGCTGGCCTCCTCTGCATTCCCAACGCAGGCAGTCTCATTTCTGTCCTCTTACTTCCTCATCTCCTCACATCTCCACTCAGATGGCACTTTCTCAAGGAGGTCTAATAAACTTTAGTTTATTTTTTAAGAACATGTATTTATTTTTTAATTTATCTATTTATTTGTTGTGATTTTCAGCCGCTGGGTCCAGGACTTGAACTGCAGTCAGCCGTGTGGGAGTCTAAATGCCTCAACTACCATGCCACCTGCCGGCCCCTAGCCACCTTATTTTAAATTTCAGACATAATTAAATTACTGCCATCCCCAACTCCCTTTCCTACTTCCATGTTCTTCATAATATTTATCGCTTCTTACTTAATCACTTTATCTTTTCTATGGTCTGTTTCTCCCAACTCGAAAAAAGGGAGCCCAATATGGGATAGACAATTTTGTCTTTTCTGTTAGTCGCGCCCGACACTGTGGAGGCGCTCATAAATATTGAGTAGATGAATGAAGCACAGTGTGTTGAATGGCCTCCGGGGAGCCCCTGCAGGGCGCTAAACTACACCGTTCTCGGCCGGATTGAACTCCAACATCCGCCATCCCACTCCCCGTGCCTGTGTTCTAGGTTTGCTCCTGCCTCCGGACTTGCGCTTAAACTCGTGCCTGCGCCTGGACCGTCCTCCCTCCCTCCGATCTCCTTCCAAGCGCCCAGACGTAAAGGTGAGGACAGCACCCTCACCTCCGCGTGATTGGATAGTCGCTCTGTCGCTATAGTTACTGCATCCACCTGGGGCAGAACACCCCTTGGTGCCCCGCCTCCACGGGTAAAAGGTAGTTGACTGTCCCGGATCTGCCCAGCTGAAGGGCGGGTTTGAGAGACGACGACGGGATTTCCTTACTTCCCTCCCAACTCAGTTGTCATGGGAACGAAGCGCTTCCCTCCAGGGCGGCTTTCTCCCCTTTCTCCTAGATAGAGGCACAAACGTCGTTAGAGAAGATAGGATGGAAGACTTGTCTAAAAGGCACGGACGCGGCTCGGTCCTAGCGCTTTCTTCAAATCCCTTCCTGCTACGCCTGCGCGGGGACCAGATCCCAGGTACATCAGCCAGCAGGGAGAGAGAAATACGCGTGCGCGCGACAGCGTTTTGCGCGTGCGCCGTGTGGCACCGGGCGGCTAGGGAAATAAGCGCAGCGCTAACCTTGCGGCTGCGCATCTACCGCTTGCTGGTGGAATCCGGAGAGCAATTCTGCGCTTGCGCCGTGCTGGGGAGGCGGGAATGAAACCCAGGCGGTAAGGGCGTTGGGGCCGACCGGCGCTAGGCGCGCCTGCGCCTTGGCTCGATGGGCGGCCGGGGGCGGGGCCCAGAGAGGGGAGGGAGAGTGGCTGGGGGGAGGGAAGAGGCCGCAGAAGCCCGAGCCCTAACCCACCGGCAGGCGGGGGCTGCGGCGGCGCCGGTTTTTTTCCCCCCCCCCCGCGACCCGCATTCCTCCTAGAGTCCCCCTTAGTCTCCGTTATGTCCTTTTGCTCCCGGACCCCCATTATTTCCAGAGCTCCCCTAATTTCAGGCGCTCCCCAGAACCCCCACAATTCCCACACAGCTTCACCCCTGTTTTACTGTTTTATCATCCCAGTTCTTCTATTGACTCAGGAACCCCCATGCCACCATTATTCCTGGACAGCCCTTTTCAGGCCCCCTTCTTAAAGATGCCTTATAGCCCCGGGAACCCCCAGAGCTCCCCTCTGCTTCACATGCCCTCGTTCTTGCTGCATCGCCCCTCGAGCATCTTACCTCTATCACCACCCCGTGCTTCTTAAACCCCATTGGCATCCCCATTCTCCATTCATTTCCTGTTCCCCTATGCCCCCATTCTCCTCCCACGCCTGCAGACACCCCCTCGTCTTCACTGTTCCTCATTTCCCTTCAGACCCCCCCCCAATTTCCATCAACTCCTCCGCGGGGCACTTTGCGCCTAGGG